GACATAGACGGACCGGTAGCTCCGGCCGCAGCCCTGGCGCCGGCGCATGCGGATCCCATGCATGGTCCGGACCAGCGGCAGCTGCACGACCGCGATCTCGAAGGCCACCGGCAGCTCGTAGGCCGCCACCTGCACGCTGCCGCTGGTGGCCGTGAGCATTTGGCTGTCGGTGCTTTGCAGGAGCGACCGGCTGCTGGACTGGCCGCCAGGGTGCGGGCCCGGGGGGGGCCCGGCCCCGGGCCCGCCGGGGGGGAAGTGGTGCGCGTGCGGGTGGTACGGGTGCGCGTGCGGCTGGTAGGCCGCCGCCGTGCCGAAGCCCGCGGGCTGCTGCGGCTGCGGCTGGGGGGGGGGGGGGGGGGGGGGATGGTGGGGGTGGTGGTGGTGGTGGGCCCCGGCGAGCGGGCCGGCCGGCGCCGCCGGGTAGCCGCCTCGCCCGGGCCCGGGCGGCGGCATGTCCTCCGGGCAGGGGATCGACAGCTCCTGCTGGCAGTGCCCCTGCGTCCGGCAGAGGTCCAGCTCGCTGCCGGTGGACGTGGCGAAGTCCTCCTCGCCGGAGCGGCCGGTGGCCAGGAGCTGCTGCTCGGCCGGGGCCGCGCCCGAGGGGCCGTGCCCATCCGGCGGCTGGGGCTGGTGCCCGGTGGTGCTGTCACCGGGCCCGCCCGGGGCCAGGAGCCCGGCGCTCAGGCTTCCCACGGCCGTGGTGGCCTGGGACAGGTTGCTGGCGCACGATCGCGACGGGTCGTCCACCGGCGGCCGGGGCGACGGCGGCCGGTGGTCGTGCGGGTGCTCGGCCGCCACGGCCACGGTGCCGGCGGTGGCCAGCAGCTCGCGGCTGTTGTTCGAGTAGCCGGCCGCCCCGGCGCCCGGGTCGGCCCAATCGCTGGCCGTCAGCTCGCCGCCCGTGGACCGGTCGGTGTAGGACGAGTCGTTGTGCCCGCCGCTGGCCAGGCCGGCCGCCGACACCACGCAGTACAGGGCATACGTGCCGACCATGTGGTAGGTGATGCGCTGGTTCTGGCCATGGGGCAATGCGCGAGCCGGGGCCCGGGGCACAGGGTCACACGTGCGGGCGGCGGAGGTCAGTCATCAACATCGGGCGGGAGGGGGTGCCTGCTTGAGTGTGCTTGTGCGCGTGCGTGTGCGCGTGCGCGTGTGTATGCGCGTGGGTGCGGCGGCCCCGCCGTCGGCCGCGGCCGGGCCGGGGGGGCAAGCCCCGGCACAATAGGCCACACGTACATCCAGCACCCGGCGGATCTCGTCCAAAATGAGGTACGGCGGCTTGGAGCTGGTGGCCGCCAGGCTGAAGAGCCCCCGGAGGCTGACCTTCTCCGGGGGCGAAGGCTGCGAGTCCGGGGCCGGCAGGTTCATGGGGTTGACGCCGCCCGGGAGGCCGGCCCCGCGGGCGGCCGCCGGGCTGGTGGCCGAGCCGCCGGTCGCCGGGCCGGCACTCGGCGCCCCGCCGGCCGCCGGCTGCGGCTGCGGCGGCTGCGCGGGCGCCGCGGCCGCCGCGGCCGCCGGCACCATGGCCGACAGGGTGCCGGTGGCTTGGAGCGGGGCCGCGGCGCTGACCGCCCCGGGACCCGGGCCGGCCCGGACCCCAGGCGCCATCACGCCCGGCCCGCCGGCCGCCGACATGGGCAGCGACCCGGCGGAGTCGGCCGCCGGGGCATAGAAGCCCGCCGGCGGGGGGACCACCACGGCGGTGGGCCGGCCATCCGGCCCGACGCCGCCGCCGCCGCCGCCACCGCCAGTGCCATACCCATGGCGCGGGGTGACCGGGGCCGAGGCGCTCGGCATGGCGCCCGGCCCGGCGAACAGGCCGAAGGGCGCGGCGCCCGGCGCCCCGGCCGGCGGCCGGTTCAGCAGCACCGAGTACCAGCAGCGCGTGGTGCAGGCCACCAGGAGGAGCTCCCCCAGCCGGGGGGACTCCGGCCCGGGGATGGCCGCCGCCGCCGCCGCCGCAAGGGCCGGCCCCGGCGGGCAGGCGCACAAGCCAATGTGCTCGAGGGCCGGGCCGGGACCACCGGCGGCGGCGGCGCCCGGCGGCGGCGGCGGCGCCACCGCCGACATCGGGCTCGGCAGGTGCATGCCCGTGCCGCCGACGCCCAGGCCGCTGGTGGCCGACGGCGTGGTCGAGGGCCCGGGCCCGGCCCCGGCGCCGGGGGCCGTCACCGAGGCCGTGGACGTGGTGGAGGCCCCGGGCGAGCCGGCCGGGCCGCCGGGCGCGGCCGTCGCCCCGCGCAGGGCCCGCACCCCGCGGCGCAGCTCCTTGGCCGAGAAGGTGGCCGCGCGCATGCGCCGCGGCCGGGCGGCCGGCGTGGCCGGGGCCGACTCCACCCCGGCCGGCAGCCAGCCCCCGACCGGGCCCTCGGGCCCCAGGCCGGCCGGGTGGTGCTCGGCCGCCACCGCCCCGGCCGCCAGACCGTACATCTGCAGCAGGTCCGCGTGCACCGGCCGCAGGAGGCCGCACCCGCTGCACAGGGCCGGGGCGATGGCCGGCAGCATGGCGCCCGGGCCGGCCGCATACGAGGCCACATGGAGCGGGCCGCCGGCGCTGCCCGGCCCCCGGGGGGTCCCCGGGGCCGAGGCGCCCCAGCTGGCCCCGGCCCCCGGGCCGCAGGGCGCCGGCGCCAGGCCCGGGTGGTGGTGCCCGGCGTCCGGCTCATCGGCGAACAGGCCGCCGGAGTAGCGCGGCGGCATGGCCGCCGGCGTCGGCGCCACCGGCACGATCGGCGGCCCGACCGTGGCCACCAGGGCCCCCTGCTCGGAGCGCACCAGCGCCTGGCTCGAGGCCCACTGGGGCATGGTGCCGGCCGGGCCGAGCCACCGGCACCCGGCGCAGGGGGCCACCACGCCGGTGGTGCAGCCATACGCCCCCCCGGCCGGGCCGGCGGCGGCGGCGGCGGCGGCCGGGGCGCTCATCAGCCCCCCGCCGGCCAGGCCCTGCTGCTGCTGGTGCAGGGCAAAGTGCAGGTACTGGTAGTGCAGCAGGTCCGACAGGTCGCCGCCGGGCCCGCCGCCGCCGGCGCCGCCGTTCGACCGGAACCCCAGCAGGTCCGGGCTGTTCGGCGCCGAGGAGCACATCGGCGAGGGCATGCCGGCGACGGTGGCCAGCGCCCCGGCGGCCGGGTGCGGCCGGCCGCCGGCCAGGAGGGCCTGCAGCCGGGGCTGCTGCGGGCCGCCGGCCCCGGCCGCCTGGCCCAGCCCCGACGGGGCGGACCCGGTGCGGCCGGTGCCGGCCAGGCGGCCGCGCGCGGGCCCGGGCGACGCCTCGCCGGGCCCGGCCCCGGCCCCGGCCCCCGGCAGCCGGAGGCTCGGCGGCCGATGGAAACGCGTGCCGCGCAGCGACCCGCCGGCCGGCAGCCCGGCCACCAGGCTGTCCAGCATGGCGGCCGCCGGGCCGGGCCCGCCCGCCGCCGCCGACGCCAGGTCCATGGACTCGCTGCGCCGGGGTCCGGCGGCGGCCGCCTCGCCGCCCGGCGGCTGCCCGGCCACCAGGGTCCCCCCGCGCGAGGGGCTGTCCCGCGCCCCGCCGGCGCCGATGCACTCGGTGGTGGCCGACCGGACCATGCGACCGCTACGCGGCATGATCCCGGGCCCGCCGCCTCCGAGCGGGGCCTGCTGCGGCTGCGGCTCCTGCGACGCCAGCGGCTGCTGCGGCGGCGGCGGCGGCGGCTGCTGCGCCATCATCATCATCGCCATGGGGTGGTGGTGGTGGTGGTGAGGCCCGGGCCCGGGCCCGGGGCCCGGGGGCAGCCCCCCGGCCACCAGGGTCGCCGCATAGAACCCGGCCCCGGGCCCCGGCTGGCAGGCCCCGCACGAGGGGCACCCGCCGGGGCCGGGGTGGGCTTTGCCGCCGGGGCCGGACGGCGACCCCGGGCCCCGGGGCCGCGCGCCGCCCGGGCCGGCCGCGCCATCGCCGCCGGCGCCCTCGCCCGGCATGTCGCCCGCGCCCGGGGACAGCTGGTCCCCGAGCCCGGCGTCGGCCAGGGCCGCCGGCAGCGGGGCCTCCAGCCCGGCGTGGCCATACCGCGCCCCGGAGCAGGGGGGCTGGCCGCTGGGCTGGTCGTAGTCTGGCCCGCGCCACGGCCCACCGCCGGGGACCAAAAAGCAACCCGGCCGGGCGCCGAGCATCCGCGCAAAGGCCGTCGGTGGGTACGGGAGAGAGGCTGGGTGAGTGTTCCGCGCGGGAGCATGTGCCCGGTGGGCCCGGGGCGGCGGCCGTGGCGCGGCCCGCCCCCTTGGACAAAATAAACCCCACACGCACAGTACGCGAAGTCCCCCTCGTCGGTGCTGAGCAGCCCATCGCCCCCGAGGCCGGTGGGGGCGTCCCCGGCGAGGGTCCCCCCGCCGGCGGGCGCGGTCGACGTCAGGTCCACCACCGGGACCCCGGGCGCGCCCGGGCCGGACACCACGCCGGCGTCGGTGAGGGCCCGGCCGCCGGCGCGCGCCCACGACCGCCCAGCATGCCCGGACATGGCCTGGGCCACCTCGGGCCGGACATGCCCGGACCGGTGGACCGCCAGCGCGGCGGCCGCGGCCGCGGCCGACAGCGGCTCCGCCTCGGCCCCCGGGCCCGGGCGCACCACCGGCAGCCCGGACCCGCAGTAGCAGGCGAAGGCGGCCCCGGGGACCGGGCCCCCGGGCCCGAGGGCCATCCGATCTAGGGCCACCAGGTTGTGTCTGGGGGGGGGGGGGCGTGGCCACGCCGGCCGGGCGAAGCGGGCGGTCAGTATTGGCCGGGCGTGTGTGTGTGCGGGTGTGCGGGTGTGCGGGTGTGCGGGTGTGCGAGTGTGCTGTCTTCTTTGCCCCGCCCCCCTGGGTCCGGGGATGTGCCGATCGCAAAGCCACCACGCGGCGGCCTGGCCCACAATCCCCCGGGGCGCGCTGGTGTTGTGGGCGAGGGCGGGCCACGCACCGGAGTGCCGGGCGCATGCTGCCCCGGGCGCTGATGTCGTCGTGGTACTCGTCCCAGCCGGAGCCCCAGCCGTCCCAGCCCCAGGCCTCGGACGGGTCGTTCTCCTCGCGGCGGATCTTCTCCAAGGCCAGCTGGTACATGCAGACGATCGGGCACCGGGGCAGGCCGTCGAGGCCGTCGCCCCGGGCCCCGAGCACATGCGCCCGGACCAGGGCCGCGTAGATGGCGTCCGGCTTGAAGCCGAACTCGGCCAGGCGCTCGACCGCCCGGGCGTCGGGCACGCTGGCCGGCGGGCTGCGCGGCGGGGGCGGGGCGTACGGCGGCCGGCCCGGGGCCGGGCAGGACCCGCTGCCCGCGCCGAGCCCCATGCCGCTGGCATTGGCACTGGTGCTGGTGAGCAGGAGCGATCCGCCGGGGCCGGCCGGGCCGCCGCCGCCGCCGCCGCCGCCGCCGCCGCCGCCGGCTCCCAGCAGCCCGACCGCCGGGTTGAACGGGTCAAAGCGGCCGAGGTCCCCGCGCCGGGGGGCCGGCGGCCCGGAATACCCGTCGCACACCCACCGGTCGGCCAGCACGTCGTCCAGCGTGGCCCGCCGGGAGGGGTCCACGGTCAGCATCTTCATGATGAGGGACTTGGCCTCTGTCGGGGGGGGGGGGGGGGGAATAAGGGAGGCGGGCCGGCACAGGCCGCGGCGGACAGATCGACAAGCAGGGCGGTCAGTGTCAGCGGGCGGGGGGAAGGAAAAAAGGACCGGGCCCTGGGGCCGCGGCCGCCGCCGGGCCTCGGCCAGCGCCTCGTCCGCCCCCCCTCCGGCCCCCGGCCACACACACACACACACACGCAAAAACCACGCCCGGCCATGCCCCGGGGACAGGGGCACCGGAGGAGGAGCCCGGCCATCGGCCTCACGCACCGGCCGACACCACCGGCGTGCTGGGCCACCGGAGCTCGCCGGACTGGACCTTGGCATACAGGCGGCTGAGGCTGCGGTCTTCGAAGGGCACCCGGCCAATGAGCATCACATAGAGCACGGCCCCCAGCGACCAGAGGTCCACCTCCGGGCCGCGATACGGCTTGCCGGCCAGGAGCTCCGGCGCGGCGAAGTACACCGACCCGCAGTTAGTCCGGAGCGGGTCGCCGGCCGGGTCGTCGCACAGGGCCGCCAGGCCCAGGTCGGCCAGGCGCAGGCGCCCGTCCCGCCCGACCAGGATGTTCTCCACCTTCAGGTCCCGGTGGACGATGCAGTGCCGGTGGCAGTATTCCACCGCGGCCAGGAGCTGGCGGAAGAGCGGCCGCGCGGCCGACTCGCGCAAAAAGCGCCGCGCCACGATCCAATCCAGCAGGGCCCCGCCATCGACCAGGTCGAACACCAGGTACACCTCCTTGCCGAAGTCCGAGTACACCACGTCCCGCAGGCCGACCACATTCGGGTGGTGCACCAGCCGGCCGAGGGACAGCTCGCGCAGGACGAAGCGCCGCTTGCGCTTGCACATGACCACATGCTTGACGGCGTACTTGCGCCCGGTCACCACGTGCCGGGCCTTGCGCACGGTGCCGATGCCCCCGGCCCCGAGGACCTTGCCCAGCCGGTAGGGGCCCACCTGGTCCGGCACGATGCTGGACTCGGTGCTGCTGGCGGCCGGGGTCATGACCGGGGCCGGGGCCGGGGCCGGGGCCGGGGCCGGGGCCGGGGTGCTGGCCGGGTCGCCGGCGCCCGGGCCGTCGGCCTCCGGCCCGGCCGCCGTGGCCGTGGCCGCCGTGCTGACCGTCCGCCGGCCGAACCACCCCCGCCGGATGATGGTCCCGGTGGCGGTGGCCACCCCGGCGTGGGGGTGCGGCGCGGTGCCGGCCGCGTGCGGTCCGGCCCCGGCCGGGGCGTCGGCCTGCCCGCCGGGCCCGGTGCCCGGGACCGCGGCCAGCGGCTCCTCCCTGCGCCCGGGGGTCACGCCCATTGGGCGCCGTGCACCGGGAGGGGGGTCATGCCGACGGCCGTCCCGAGGGCGGGCGAGGGGGCGGGAGTGATCGCCAGTGCCGGTGACAGGCGATCGGCCACCGAGGCGTGGCGAAGCGCAAAGTGTGTTAGCAACAGCCGGCCGCCGGGCACACGCGCTGCCCCACAGGTCCAGTCCCCCCCCGCCCCCCCGGCCCAGCCCGCGAGGCCCACGGACCCGGAGACGTACATGACCATCGAGCTGTCGCCCCAGACATTGGGCGGCCCGTGGACCAGGGACCCGGGCTGGTAGGTGGCCGGGGCCGGGACCATGCGGCCGGGCGGGACCTCCACCACGCGGCCCTCGAGCGGCTGGTTTTGGGCCCAGTCCGCCCGGACAAGGTCCCAGCCGCGGTCCCAGTCGGCCGAGCCGTCGAGCCGGCGCCACGCCCGCGGCCGCGGGTGGAAGCCATACGTCGGCCGGGTGCAGTGCGGCAGCCGGGCGGCGCCGGGGCCGGCATCCGGCCCGGCCGGCTCGGCCCCGGGGTCCGCCTGCTTGGCCGACCGGCCGTGGGCCGCGCGCAGGGCCGCCGCCAGCTGCTTCGGATCGTCCCCGAAGTACCCGCCATCCGGGTCATAGTACAGGGCATCCAGCGGGTTGTACGGGTCCAGGCCCAGCTCCAGCAGGTCCTGCGGCCCGAGCGGCAGGTCCAGCTCCCGGCGCGGCGGGGCGGCCCCGCCCTGGCCGGGGCCCGGCTGCTCCGGCGGCGCCTCCAGCGACAGCTGCGCCAGCCCCGCCTGGGCCACCATCAGCCGGAGCTCCTCGTAGGTGATTTGCCGCTCGATGGTGGCTTGGTCCACGGACAGGGCCTCCGAGACGACGGCCTGCGCGGAGGCGCGCGGCGGCTTGGCCGGCTTGGCCGGGGTGGCGGCCGCGCCGGCCTGCGCCGCAGACCGCCGGTCGGGCGGCGCCGCGCCGGCCCCGGTGCTGCCGCCGCCGCCGGCGCCGGCCCGCGAACCCGAGGACGACCCGGCGCCGGCCGACGAGGAGGCCGTCCGGCCGGCCGGCCGCGCACTCGGCCCCGGGCCCCCGGCCCCCGCCGGCCGGTCGCCCAGCCCCCCGGGGTAGGTGCCCGAGGCGAAGGCCGCGCCCGGGGCCCCGGGCAGGGTGCCGGCCGCGCGCGGCCCGGCCTGCCTGTCCGGCCGCCGGCCCGGGTACTCGGCCGGCTCGTCGGCGGCCGGGCCCGGGCCCGGGCCCGGGCCAGGCCCGGCGGTCGGCGGCCCGGCCGCCGAGGGCGGCGAGTCCGGCGGACTGGTCACCCCGGCGCCGGGCCCGGCGAAGGGCGCCGCCCCGGGCGTGCCCTCCCCCTCGGCCGGCGGCGGGCGTACGGGGTGCGGCCCGGCCGGGCCGCGATCTGGCCGGCCGAAGCCCGGCTCGCCCGGGGCCGCCCGGGGCCCCGGCAGTCCGCCGGGCCCGGGGCTGGCCGCCTCGAAGGTGGCGGCCACCGCCTCGGCATGCTTGTCGCGCGGGCCGGCCCCCTGGTACTTGGCGCGCAGGCCGGCCCCCCCGGCCGGGGCCGTGCCGGCCTCGCCGGTGGGCGACAGTGTCGGGTCTAGCCTCGAGGAGGCCGGCGGCGTGGGCGGGGCCGCGGTGCCGCCGCGCAGGCCGCCCTGTCGCGGGTCATGGCTCATGGTGGTGGGGGCTGCGGGGGCGGGTGTTTTCCGCCGGGGCGAGGGCGGGGGGGGGCGAGGGCGTTGGGGGCGGCGGCGTGCGTGCGGCCGGGCGCGCGGGTCGCCGGCAGCCGAGCCAGTGAGCGAGCGGGTCAGAAACTGCCAGACAGCGAGAGGGAGGGCGGCGGCGGGGCGCGTGGGCGGCGGCGGCGGCGGCGGTCACCGCCGCCGCACGCAGAGAGCAGGGCATCCAAGCGCACCGGGAGCCCGGTCAGGTCCGGCGTCCTCCGGGGGAGGCGGCAGCCAGGCGGCGGTCTGCTCGCTGGCGCGCGGGGCAGTCGCGATCGGGTGGACCGGCGTGCGCAGGCCAGCAACATGCACCCTCTTCCGCTGGGGTGCGGCGGACGGCAAAGGGCGGAGAGAAAGACGGGGGCGCGCCCGGGCGCGTCGGCCGTGCGCACGGACTCGGCGAGGGCGAGGCGGGCGGCCGGACTCGGGGGCTGGGGCAGCGCCGACGCGAGGCAGGACCGGCGAACGAGCGGCAACCTGGCGGGGGCGGGGGG